CAGAATTCCCATTCCTTTTGAACCAAAATACAGTATCCTGCCCTCCAACCCTCTCACCTCTTTAATGTGTAGAAAGTCTTTGGCTTCGAAGTTGATAGCAGCACCTTGGACAGGACAGTCTTCATCTAAAGCCCCACAGTAACTGACATTCGTTTTCACAGCAAATGCTACTGGTTTAGTCTGAAGAAGATACAACAAACACACAGGCCACTCTCTCATCTTGTTGTGGGTTTTGCATAGCTTCTGATTGACAAAGTGCTTAAACATCAGGCATCGACACATCGGGTCTGATTCAATGGGTGAGGCTTTACTCTGCTTTGTAAGACTGCCTGTGACACCAGACTCAGAAGCAGAAGCAGTATGAGTGGTCTGCAAAGAGAGACTGCAAGAAGGCTGAGTGGAGAAACTCATGATTTTTTAAAATCACTACGTTTTTAAATTGAAAACCCAACCAGTCAGATGTAGCCGGTGTGACACTTTGCTGTTCGGCAGTGACTGTGATCAACACTAGCCCACAGACACCCAGCAAGGGCAGGGGCTGCAGTTTGCCGGGAGAAACACAGTGAGTCCTGATTGGCTAATCCCACCCACGCATTTGGTAGAGGCGTGACCCAGGCTGGAACATCTGGACACATCTGCCAGCTTTTAATCTTCCTACTCACAGATATTCGGATCAACAAGACTGGTTGCGTTAAAAAGGCTAATGGACTGGCCATCTGAGAGGCTTTCTCCTAGGGCTGTGCTGGGCTAACCTCCAACCTGTGTCGACAGCAGTAGCCCTTGCCCTGCACCTGCAATTGTGTGAGATTGCCCTGGGGATGTGTGGACACAAGGTGAGGGACACTTGTCCCACTGCAGGTATTCCTGGCAGCCTACATACTGTAGACAGGCTATTTCCTCAGGAGACAAGCTGACAAGCTTTAACGTTACTTTAACTTTTTTAACAGCTCTTATATTTAAAACAGACCTGTTTTTGTAAATGCAGAGTTCGGGTCGTACTTTGTTCTTTAAATCTCAGAAAAAAGAACAACTTCTAGACAGTTTTGCATATACACACAAAAACTTAAAAATGTCGAAATGGAAATCCAACATCCCAAAAAAGTTTTAATATGCATTAATAAGTAACCATGTTTAGCAGCATCAAAAAAATCCAATACAGGTGAGGTGCTGTCTTTTTTGGCACCTTACCATGCCTCAGGTCAATGATATTTCTGAGCCAGAAGAAGAGAAAGCATATATTGCAGGGGCAGCCAAACACAGGATCTTCCTATCATGACTGCGATACAGCCAGCTGTTTAATACTTAATTGAGTCAATTAGGATGTTGATCGGACAATTAAAGACCCGGACGTCCACAAATCCTTTACTAGAATGAACTGGATAGTCCTCTTTCTGACCACTCCAGTATACCACATTGTTGTGTAGGAGGCATATAGACGGACACTGGTCTCAACCAATGCTTTGCATAGCTGTTGCATCAGAAACCTGTAGTCAGTTGTGTAAAAGCACCTGTATGAACCACAGATCCTTTCTCCTTAACTATAGTGTGCTCACTTACAAAACACCGCAATGGAACTGGCGGTGCTTTCTTGCAGCAGGTCACTGTTCTGCGAGATCAGCAGGAGGGACTGCAGGCTCACCTTGGCTCTCTCGAGCTGCAGCAGGGCCTGGCGCTCGGCTTCACGCCGATACGCCTCCCGGTCCTCCTCCAGGGACAGGTCGGAATCCGAGGGTCTACTCGTGTACGAATCGGCTGACCCCTGCGGAGAGAGGGAACGGAAAGGGGGGAGTCACTCCGCCCCCTGCTGAGAGCCCGGTAATCACACCGCGTCACGGCACAGAGGGAGGGCCACAGCGTTCGTCTCTACCCTGTGTTAGTCTGTTCCTTTGATCCGGGAAAGCCTGCGCTGGTCTCAGCCGTTAACGATTCGTTGTTGTGAAATTCCCCCAGGAGCACCTGTTTCTCGAGCAAGTATCGCGCTGCTCTACTCAAAGCCCCCCAACATGACACAATCCCAAGTTTACAAGAGGCTGTCAGTGTTGCCTCAGTTTTCTGCCTGGTGTTGTGCCACATACTACCAGCATTGCCTCTGTGTGGGGGCCCTTAACTGGCAATGGCTCTGTGTTAAGTATCCAAAGCCTCTCAGCACAACGTCCAGAGATCACCCATCCCTGCCTGGGACTGAGCCACAGAGAGAGACTTCAGTGCCTAGAGCCCCCCCAGAGAAAACATTCATGATTGAAAGAGAGCAGACAGATCAGGTACACAGCTGGCAATCCTGTGCACTCACAGCACTCATCTTGACATGGGACGCAGACGAGAGTGAGCCGCCGGGCTCCCCCAAATACAAAACCGGTGTTTTTCCTAATTGTAATGAATGATAATGCTGTAGTTTCCTAAGGTGTTCAATTTCAGTTTATTTTGCATTGCCATTTAGTCCACTGTCCAATCCCAGTCTTCTAAGTGCTCTGCTGTGTCCGGTACCAGCACTTACATCAGAAAGGGCAGAATTCCACTATGGGTCAGTTTTGTTCCTACTGTATATATCTGTGCATTATGGGGTGCAGTGTAGAAAGATTAAAATATCCCCAAGATTTGTAATGTATGGAGGTTTTTAGCTGTAAAAACATTAATTTACTCTAGAAATGTTAGCATTTTTTACATTTTCTTATACATTAAACCAATCATTAAATCCAAATTTGGACACACTGTCTAGATGCATATTACAAACGCAATGCGTAATGCTGATGTTTTAATGGACTTTTCCTTCTGCTTGGTGGGAAGCCACCTTGAAATAACATTAAACAGATTACAAACGAGGGGAGTGCATTAGACCCATCTTGTTCGCTGGATTGCTATCCAAGGATCTCATTCCTTGAAAGATCACAACAGGAATCAACTTCTTCATCATGGCAGTGCATGCCTCCACCACCCATTGTGTAAAAGAGGTGCTTCCAGTTCCCAATTCTGAATGCACAGCCTCTTCATTTTAATTTGCGATTCCAGGTCTTTGTTTCACTGATGGTTCTGTAGAAATCTGTTATTCAAGTCCCCTAGACTGCATGTTCTTCCCCTGTTAATGTTCGTTTCCTCCCACAGTCCAAACATGTGCTGGGAGGTTAATTGGTTTCTAGGAAAACTGGCCCTGGTGTGTGTGTCTGTGTGTGCCCCGTGACGGACTGGTGTCTTGCCCAGGGTGTACCCTGCTTTGAGTCTGTTGCATGCTGGGATAGGCTCTGGTTCCCCCGCGACCCTGAACTGGAAGAAGCAATGAGAAAATGGATGGAACAAATATTCCCCAATATTCTTTTAAGAGGCACTGGAAGGGAGGCTGAGTGTTTCTAGCCTGTTCTGCGGAGTCCGACTGGTGAGAATTGTTGGGGTGCTGTATTTGCAGCTTGCTTTAAGATATACAGCCGTACTGTATATCTCGCACATTTCTCTCAGGCATCCCTCTGTCTTTTCACTGCACAAGCTCCCTGTTCTGCAGCTTTGACCCCTCCCCCAGTCCCTCGGTGAACCAGCCTTTCACCTTCGCCAACTCTCATTCCAGTAACGCAGGCGGCAAATAGCTTTCTAATGGATTTCCAGGAGCTGGGAAACCTGATAGCTGCTCTAGGGTGCCGGAGGCAGACTCGCCTCACTCCGGTGCTGGTAACCTGAGTCACCGGGCGCAATGAAGACCTTTTAAAATGGGCTCCCAATCGCCGATCGATACTTTCCAGGAGAGCTAAAAGGCCTCAGGGGACAATCGGGCTGCAGTGCTCCAGCCCTGTTCTTTTTGGCTTCTTGTGTGTGTGTGTGTGTGTGTGTGTGTGTGTGTGTGTGTGTGTGTGTGTGTGTGTGTGTGTGTGTTCTCTTGAAAGAATAGTCTGGGAGGAAAGCCCAAACGCACTCGAGGTCCTGAAGGAGACGAGGCCTTCTCCCAGCGACCAGCGCCGAATGCTTCTCGATTCGGGGGTCCTGAGCGGACGGTTTCTGAAAGATCAGCAGGAGCTCCGCTTTGACGTTCCGTTCCGGACAGGTAAGCAGCACTGTTACACACATGCAAGGATGTGTGTAGGGACCCACTTCCACCCCCACTGCAGTGCTGTCCCACCTGGGAGACACGCTGCAGCCCCACTGCACAGCAGCTCAGGGCAGGAGAGAGACGCTGCTGCTCCAGGGGGATTACGAGGGGACAGATTGTACAGGACCAGAGTGTGATTGAGGAAAGACACTGGGGCAAACACCCCTACTCTTCCAAGCAAGATCTTTAGTCATGATTAGTGACCAAGTAGCCAGGACCTGAACATAATGTCCGATCTGAAAGAGGGCGTCTCATACGTCACAGTTCCTGCTCACTGGGGAGCATGTCCTTATGCTGGCTGTGCGGCACTATGCTTCCCAGTAAAATGCCCAGCAGTCCAAACAGGTACAGATGTAAGTCAAGTTGGAATACTACAAGTATTCAGCCAAGTAAAGTAATAATACCTTCCCTTCTCAAATCCCTGCATCTGTCTCCCGAGTTCCTTTCAGACACATCTGGGTCAGGTGGAACCTATGGGAGACTGTAAACAGATAAAACTGCCCCCGGTCTAGATAACTTATTCATGTCCTGCGCGCCGATGCCCCCTGGCACCCGCTGGTCTCTCTGCACCGCAGTGAACAGTGCCAGCTTCAAACAGTGCGCCAGGGCCAGGGGGACTCGCTAATACTGCATCTGCACTTTTTCTCTGGTTTGTTTTGAAGGCAAAGACCAAGAAATAAAATGTTGTGCCTGTCTTGACAGTTTACATGGAAGGCCTCCAATCCTGGTCCTAAAGAGCCACTTTGTGTGCTTTGTGTGTTTTCCAGGTCAGACACACCAGAATCAGGAGTGGACAGCGCTGGTTCAGTCCCTGGAATTTGGATGGTAAAATTGTAAAAAGCCACAGTTTCCTGTTTTGATCAGTGCATGTCCCGAGTCAATCAATTTGCATATTTTGTTTACCATTCTCTAGCTTAGTCCTGGGAGGCCATTCTCTAGAAACCCAGCCATGAGCATCTTTTATCAAGCCCAGTATTACTTAGTCCTGTTGGCTCTGTCCTGAGGAGCCCTGTAGCCCCACCACTGTGCCCACAGCCTACAGAGCCCTATAGCCCAGGTGCTGTGCCC